ACTAGCAGGGCATGCTGCAAATATTTCTAGGTATGTTTTATGTAGTGTAACTAACTGAATCGATCACTTTGTTCAAAAAGTTCTTAGAAGTCACAGGCTCTAAAGAGGGGAAAACAGTTTGTCAGGAACATTGGAGGAAGCAAACAACCATAAAACTAAATCCTGTAATTTTGACCATGGCAAAACTTTCACTGCAGAAAAAGAGAGCTTTGCCTGAGGACAGCCTTCACCAGTAATGTGTGATGACCAGGTAAGCTCAAGAACTCCTGAAGGTAAAAATAAAAAGACCATGTTGGTTATTCCATCCTTACGGCTCATTTTTCAGCAATGAGCATCACATAACAAATAAAGCCTCGAGGACTATTAGAAATCTCCTTACTTGGTCAAAGCTGCATTTTACTTATAGATCTCCTTCTACCAAGCTGTATTTAACAGGCTCCACTGTGGGCTTTCCAGCCTTTTCACATTTATTCCAGTACCTCTGAAAAACACTAGTATATATTTTTCTTTTAAGGTATTTTTCTTTGTTCTATCCCTATTTTATCTGTGGGACTGGAGTTTTTCCTAGATGCCCCAGTCTTTCCAGATGTGTGTTAACAGCCCAGAGCCCTGTTACTGGTATGATTTCCCACAGAAGTCATTGTCATTTGCAAGGACAGCAGCAGCTCTGATGGCTGAGAGAGCAGGAAAACAAGTCTCCCACATCTCTGGCACATTCCTCACAAACCTCAGGCCAGCTTGCACTTCTTGCTGGGCAGTCCTGGAAGGGATGGGAAACATTGAAGTCCTGGGGCTGCAGAAACTGCTGCACTGCAGAGATGCAGAGGATGGAGAGGAATTCATTGGAATTGTTTAACAGAGCACCAAGGTCATTGTGGCCATTTTGCAGGCATTTTGAAGCCAATCATCTTGTGTCCAAGAAGCTTGTGAAATCCAGATGAGAGATGAGACTGCAAATCTACTGTTCTATAGCACTGAGCTACAGAAGAGGAAATTCTCCTCTGAGCAGAGGGTGTCCACAAGGCCCATTTATTACACTTACCCCTATGTACCAAAGATACTAACTCAGCAATGTTCTTGCACCCAGGCCAGAGGTGCATTATAGAGACCTGCCAAAGCAAGCAAATTCAAGCCCACCCATACAGACTTGGCTAAGCGCTTTACAGAGCTACAGGTTCTCTGAGCTTCCCCCAGTCCTCAAAACTTATCTTCCAAATAAATTTCAGAAGAAAAACAGTATGTGATTAATGCTATGAATCATAGAGAAAAAACCCTTCAGCATCATTGAAACTGTTCCAGTTCTACCTCTTGACCTGAAACTGCAGAGCATGGCTGCTCCTCCACCTCAGCAGCAAACAGCCCTTCCTGTGCACTGCTTTCCATGGAGACCAGACTTCTCAAAACCCCAAAATGCCATCACTGAGATTTGGATGAGACTCAGCATCTCTGTCCTCTCGACCCTAACATATGCATATATTCCCTTTCACACTCTCACCCCTGCAATTAATTAAAGAGACATATATTTTAACAAACCAGTTAATTGAACAGAGCGAAGCTGCGAAATTTAAGAAATTTGCCACATTTATATACATAGTAATGAGATCAATTACTTTCAGCTCATGTAGACGTATTGAGAACTAATGAGGTACTTAAAACGTGTGTGGAGAAAGTCTACTTTCTATTTCCATGCTGTAACTTAGAGCTTGTTAGGGATTTAGCTCTTTATCAGTTTGAGCTATGGCACTTACATTGATAGAAGGCCTGTTAGCTGTGGCTCCCGACTGCATTAAAAAGTCTTTTAATGCAGGTTTGTAGTGGCATACATCTCATTAGAGTGCAAAAATGGGCAAACACTGAGGACCAGGTTGTTGGAAAATACTTTGTGAGAGAACACAGCAAGCAGGAAGCTTGTCCTTTGAAAGATACCATCCACCTCACTCATAATTTAGATAAGTAATCCAGAGACCCGTATAATAAGAAAACCTTTATACTTTTTTTTTAAGCTATTAAAAAAAAAGACCTGCAAAAGGTAAAGTGCCAAATTCTAGAACTGTTATCTTTGTGGGTCACTTTTAACAACAAAACGCTCTTTCTCCCAATACAAAACACAGTGGTAATTTATTTCTTCAAAGAAATTGCACCGAGAGAATATCTCCACCACGCTACACTTCATACACTGAGCTCTGGGTTATTACCAGGGAAGCCAATTTTCAGGCAGCGATTTCAACATCTGAGCACAGCCTTGGATACAGCTCCAGGCACATCCAAAGTTTCTCATTAAGTTAGACATGCAATGAAAATGTTGAAAGGCATTTAAGGGTGAGGAGAAGAGGGAAACAGATACTGTAAAGGGACAAGAAAGAACAGAAAAAAGTGGAGAAACCTTCAGCTCCAGCACAAAGAGTCACAGGTGAAGTCAGCCCAAGACAATCTCACCATGCAGCAGGTTCCCATGTCTGCCTTCTGCATGAGGTTGCTGGCCAAGCCCCAGCAAAGCTTTAGATCTTGCTGTTGGCAGATAAACCCAGTTTCTTTTAAACTATAGTTCTAGCCACATTTTCTACCTAGCAGATGCTCTAGACATCTTATTTCCTCAGCCCAGATATTAAATAGCACCCTTATGGCAATAGCCCTCAGCCATCAGGTTGTCCTGCAGGTCAGTACAACACCTTTCCCTGAGGGACACGAACTCCTTATCCACAGGGGGAATGCCACTGCATAGAGATCTCAGCTTGACTCCCTAAGACCATTCATGGTGTGATGGCCACCTCTGCAGCATGGCTGGGGACTTCTGCATTCCAACACACACGAAATATCCTTTTGCAGCTCTATCAGTTTAATGCCTCCTTTCCCCTTTTGCAGTTCAAATGACTCAACAACTTCATTCTACTCATGTTTTTGCAATTCTCTTCTGAAATTCTTATTTACAAGACAACATTCACCAAGACAGCACATCTTCAAATACCAAATCAATCCTAAATGTGAGGCTCAAGGCAGGAGCAAAAGAAACCATCCCCACTTGGAACAGAGAATTTCACATCTGACCTCCAGCTGCAAAGATGAGAGAAAGAGAGAAATCATTTACCTAACTACAGCCAAGTGGAAACAAACTCCAGACAGTGGAAGAAAAGCAGCAAAAGCTGAGGCTGCTGAAGGAGGATTTAAATAGCCAGTGTGGGATCCAGCTGTGATCCTACTGGGCTCACCTGCCTCCAGTACAGCCTTGATTACCCAGCCTGGGTGAAAACACAACCTTGTGCTATGCAGCCCTGTTATCATAGGGCAGCAAAGCAGCTTCTCCCCTCATCCACTCCAGCTGTGGGTGTGTTGAAGGGCTGATATACACCACCTGTGCCAGAACCACCCGTGGGTTCCATCAGTCACCTAAAGGAGGAACAGACTCTGCCCCTAATGATCACGGCAAACCAGCTGTGCAGGATTTTGCGAGTTTAGAGCTGGGCATTAGGGCTCCCAGTTTACAGTGAGAATTAGGAGCAGGCATGTGGGACCCCTAGCTTCTCCTTCCTGCAGGAGATGACAACCTGCAGAATGGGGGAGAAGGAGGCAGCCAAGGGCTATGCCTGGCTTTGGTTTTCCTTACACTCGCTATGCATGTGCTCCTGTGCGGTGTGTTCAGCCTGAATATACTGCTTTCTGTAGCACTGATCATACATTTGCTTGTCATTACAGTGCCTGTAAGTAAATACAGAGAAATAAATAAGAATACTTAGCACTTTAAGCCCATTAAAGCATTGGCAAAGTTTCACATGAGATGGTCTTTAAAGCTTGATGTATAGCAATAAAATTAGCTCAGAAAGAGACAGCTGCATAAAAACAATGTATGCCTGCACATAAACCCATGAAAAATATTTTGACTGGCACAGATTTTAAGGTAGGCTTATTTATTGGAGCTATGCTTCAGTAATTTACAAAATAGAGAATCTGATAAACAGGAGCGTCAGATGCTCACGGAAGGGGAGACCAATGTGCTCTGATTTCAGCTGATGAGTTTGAAATGTAGTTTGAAATCACATTAGGGTCATATCAAAGATTTATACCCAGCGCTGGGGAATGATCACATTTACAGAAACTGACAACTAACAAATTAAAATTAAAAATAAGCAGACTAGTGGGCTGAAAAGATTATATAAACATATAATATGAAAGGAATATCTAATAAATAGAGATTAATTCTTTTAAAAAATCTAGAAGCATCAAGTTTGAATTAAAACTAATATATATTTTTAAAATTGCGCTTCTGGACTATTTGTGTCAGAAAAAAACCTCCAATCTGAGTCTTTGATCCAGTCAGCAGTAATAGAAAACACTTTCCCAGAGAGGGATGCAAAAGAAAAACAGATTCATGAGAACCTCCACTCCTTATTTATAGCTTTATGCAATTTTTATCTCATATCCTTCTTCCTGTCCTTTAATTGAAAAGCAAAATTTATACCTAAGAGCATGAGTGCAATGAGAGATGGTGCCTGAAGATTGGATTTGAGTCTCTAAAGTGAAGTGAGTCACATGAATGATGCAGTGTTCTAGTTTGGTGTGTTCTTCGCTGTCTGGTTAATGATACTAGGAGACAAAGGCACGGGACCAGCTTATCCAGCTCTTTCTTACCCTGTTTTGAAGTCGTGACTGTAGCCAACTCAGTTCACGTAGGCAGAAGAAAAACAGGACATCTTACACTTTGGACATTGTAAAGTGAGACAGAAACTTCATAGTTTTAAACAAATATTAAGGGTGTATGTCTTTTGACAAGACCTTGGCTTTAGAAAATGGTTCTTCATTTATGCCTGGGCTGCCTCTGAGCCTGCCTTGCATGAGGAAGCTCTTAGTGGTGTATCCTCTTAGCCGTCTATAGAACAAATTCTCATTACAAATTGAAGCCTGTGCAGTCACAATAAAGTCCATTTATGTCCTAATACATATATACACATTAATTCAGACCATATTCCGCTATTGGCACAAATTAATTGCTCTCTGATGAATTTTACAGCACCTCATTTCTAAGGATTTCTCCTGAAAGTGCACTGAAAAATTCAACACGATCAAACACTACCCTGTTCAACATGCTTTGAAGATTATATCTAATTAGGAGTTTTTGCAATTAGCACATATTGTAAGTTTTCCATTCTACAAATTAATAAGAACCTTTTGTATTTATTTATCCTGCCAATTGCACACACACACCACCCAACTGCTACTGCTAATGGACTATTTCAGCTCAGAGAGGACAACGGGATGTCACCAATATTTGGTATTTTTCTCAGGCAAAGATTTCCTGCCTGAAAGTTTAACCCCACTGCCTGCCCCCTGACCAGGACTCTTGAGACAGAAAAAGAATATGAATGAGCTGGTATTTAATGTCACAGACATTACTAGGACTCTATGCCTTTGTGCAGATTTTTTTCATGAGAAAATGCTAACGTGAGGAGAAACTCCCGGGGTACGGGGCACTCTGTGGTCACTGCTGCTCACAGCCACGGAGCAAAGGAGAGGCATGAAACCAATGCACTTCTGAGTCTGCCAGAGGCACATTTTCCTCCTTTAGAAGGGTACAAGATGACAGATTAGTATTCTAGGTCTTGGTTGATTTTCAGCTCTTCTCTGAAAGCTACACATGCACCGGCACCCCAGAGAGCAATATAAGAGCAAGACTGTCAAGCTTCATCTTTGCTGTAGACTAATTACAAAACCTAGGAGCCTAGTCTGCAAAAACGGGCTTCCTGTGCTGCCTGTCCACCCTATGTTATCTATCTTAACAGAATGGGGAATATTTTATTATGGTAACAGATACACTCAGGTTCCGGGTCTCTGAAACAGCAAAACAGGACACTGACAGTATTTGCAGCACCATTAGAAGGAAATACTGGCAAGGTGCTAAGTTTATTTTAAATTAACTACCCGCTGAAATCACAGCAACTATTAGTTTGTTAATTTGCATTTCACCCAGGATACAAATGTAAAAGAAGAAAAGATTTTAAAAAGTGGAAAGCAGTAGTGGTGAAGTTGAGGTTTGGTTGTCATCTCCTGGGACAGGAGCTCTCTCTAACACTCCAACACACACAAACGTGGCTTTGATTGAAAGCCCTTTGCTCTCAGGAAGTTTTGATTACTTTCCAAACACAAGAAGGAAGCCTCATTCCTCAAAAACCTGTCTTGCAGAGTATACCTGTGGCTTTCACATCCCCATTCATTTAGGGTAGCAATGCACAACATAGCCTGTCCCACAGGAACATCATATCAAACTTCCTTTAGAGAATGGCTCATCTCAAAGTCTGTCCTCCTGCCTGAGGATGCCCAAAACTGTCTGGAGAGCTAATGATTCATTTAATTATAAGATTTTAGTATTCCTGAGCTGCAACTACATTGACTCTTTCACTGGATTGGATTCACATGTACCCTGCAGAGCCATTTGTGGATCTACTTGTACATCCCCAGGCATGTTGTGTGCTGATTTGCTCACTGTCTTGGATTTCATCTCTCTTTGGAACACAAAGAGCTAATTATAAATATAAATAACAATTAAAAGCCTTTTATCCCTTAAAGTAAATTTTCTTTGAACCTACATGCATTTAGCATATATGTGGTTTCCAAATCTCAGCCTGAAGAATTACAAGTGTATTCTTGAGTGTTGGCAAAACTCTTCAGATTGGTTTATATTCCTTACATCCACGTGAGCCAAATCTGATGTTGCAGGATCTGTCTTCCTCCCTCAGTGATGTCAATATAACAATCCTTTGCCATCAAGTGAAACATGAACCAGGTCTCTCATCAGAATTGTTTCATCAAATCCTTTGTTGTCCCAGAAAATTCAGGGAAAAGGGAAATTTCATTCATTGCTCAGCTACAACCAACTGTGACACGACTTCCAATTGACCTTGACATTTGAGAACTTCACAAGACAGCAAATTACTAAGAGGACCTATAAGCCAGACAGGTTAAGAGAAGTCAAATAGTGAATAGCAAGAAGGGCAACACAGCCACCAGTATGTAAATGAGGACTTGTATTTAAGCCAACATATTGCATTATGCATGAAAAGGTGAGTAATAGCAAATAGTTTAAGAAATTTGTCTACAATTAATGAATCTTAAATAGCTTTATTAATGTAGGTCAAACTCCATCTTCTTGTGGGAATTTGACATTTACTAATATGCTCCATATGAATTATTCAAAGCAGATATATTTAATATCTATAGAAAATTGTATTGAGTATGCTCTTCACAAGGGCTGCATTATATTTGTATTACAAAATCTACAGGGGCTACTTAATTTCTAATCCAGTAATCACTAATTAAATAATATTAAAAACATCCTCTAATATACCTAAATCCAAATGTTATGCAGAAGTCTGCAAAATATTGGTTTATTTGTAGCCTGTAGCACAATGTCATCACCCATCACAGAGCAGGTATTCCAATTCTGTCTCTTGTTCTTTTAAAATGTAAGCCAAGTATCAATTCCCACTGTGAAGGAAAACTATGATTAGTAATTAAATTATAGTGCATTAAACTTACTTAACTTAAGTTCACCAGCTGGGAAAATTCTATGCCTCTGGGTTTACCAGTAACTCCTAATCTTGCTGTTGCCTGCACCTATTTTTTAAAGTTGTATTATAATTTTCTTCATTGGAATTTCATTAAAAATGGTAATGTCATTACTTCTGGTAATGCTTAAAACCAACACCATAATCCTGAATTTTAATTAGTAATTACAATTAATCATTATTTCATTAATGAAATGTTTAGTTGCTAATTGTCTTTGAGCACCCCCAGTCCCCAGGCTAATACACATTTCACAACATTTAAATTCTCACTGTTTCTGATTAAGTGGAACCATCAACCTGGTTCACTTTTAACACTTCCATGTGGTGCAGTACCTTGGGCCTTTTATTTGCTATTTATACCTGCTCAAATGGATGGCTTCAAGTCCTGATTAGCCTTTAACAGAGAAACAGATGCCTTAGGTACAAAGCAGACAATAAAAAGACGCCCAGGAGATAAAATTACTTCATCCAGGGTTCTTTCCACTCTGCTGTAACTGTAGACCTTAATTTTCTACTATTGCTGTGTCACACTGGTCTGGGTTCATCCATCTGACATTTGACAACACAAGGAATGACCAAAATTAGCACCTGGGCTCCTTACAGAAGGAGAGTGGGTGCTGGAGGGTCTCATAGTCCTCAAGGGCATGAGCAACCCTGCCCCCTGCTATGACAGCTGAGGTATTTAGAATGAGGTAGGAGGATCTTGGACCAGTCTGGTTAGATGCAAACACATATAGACACAATCTAATTTTAGAAACCTCTCTTGACCCTAGTGTGATGGCTGAGACCCACACACCACAGATTTTGAAAGATGGAATACAGTGGGTGAGGTTTTGCAAGACGTAACTTATTGAACTATTCTAAAAATGTCTATCAGGTCTCTCTTGGGATCCATTGGAAACAGATGCTGACTAGGATAACAAACGGACTTTTCTTTTTGTCAGGGGGTTGAAGGGCACAAGAATCAAAGAATACAAATTATTCAGCTTAGTTTATGTGTGTGCTCTAAGAAAACCCATGAGCTACACTAAGCTTGGGCAAAACCAGAAGTCCCTTCTGCCCAGGACCTGTCTCCATCAGTGATTTTGGGTCCCAAGGAAAGCACAAAAGAATAGGTTGAGCATATGTTGAGACTTCCCCAAATTCTTCCCCCACAATGGATTTCATGAACCAGGCTTTTATAAGTTATTCATGGAAGTTTAAAAGTAAATAACAGTTATTAAACATCTACTACATGAGCATTATGCATTAGACATGGTCCTAAATACAAGAAAACAAAACTTCAGAGATGATCGCAAGTCATGGTGATAATTGATTTTTGAAGCTGTGGGGCTGTATAATAATTGGCTCACTGATAAACAAATATATCACTGCTAACACTAATATATTAACCTTTAATTTATAAATGGAACTCAGTATGGAGTGTAGCCAATTTGATCTGCAAAAGGGGCTGTGAATCTTACAAGGAATGACTGATATTCTGCATCACCATTTCCTGAGCTAAGGTTTACAGTTCACTGACAGCTTGTGCAGCCCTTGCTGGAAACCTTATCTGGTCCACAGAGATGTAACACCCTCTGGGAATTTTTAATTTAATGCTCCTTGCTAAGGCTGCACACTACCCCTAAGAAATTATGAGGAGTAACAAATGGATGCTGGGCCAAAAGGCTGGAAAGCCAGAGTTCTTGATTTATGCTGGTATTGCTGTTATGCCAAGCCAGCATTCACTGCGTAAAGTCTTGGAAATTTAAAACAAGAATTAACCTGAGGTTTTGGTGAAAAATGTGACAATTTTGTTTCTGCACAGATCTTATTCCAGCAGAAGTAAAACAACAGAAATACCCAGCGTTTTTAAACCTGAGCAATTTTAGTACAACAATAAAATAGTATTCCTTTAAGGTACACAACTTTGTCTATTTATCTTGTGAATACACACAGCATTCTGGGGGCAGGGAGGGGGGGATACTTCTGGAAGTTATTCTCTGCTTATTTTACACCCACTGTTCTCTAATATGCCTAATCATACGCAGGCTGTCACAATGAAGCACAGAGGACTTATTTTCTCCTTTTCAGAACACAATGCTAGGTATTTGATGGCTACCCAAGAGAAGGTCTGGAAATATGGTAGAATTTACATATAGGGAAGGGCTGGATTTTGAAATTGTGCTCAGGGAGGCACCTCCCTCAGTCAGTGCATGAATCCATTGGCCCAAGTTGGAGGATTTTTCTCAGTGCTGAAGGTTCAGAACACAAATCTCAGCCCCAATGCACTCAGGAACAAGAACTGCATGAAATGTGGTAACAGAAAATAGCCTTCCTCATGGTTCACCATCTGGTTATTATCTAATTATTAATTAGGAGATAGACGATACGAAGGCAGCTACCTTTCTGTAAGGTGTGGTCTACCCCTAGGAATATCTAACACAGACATCCAAACCCATGATATTTGAAGAAAAGCGCATTTCATTGAGATTTGTACCATA